TATCTAAAATGGAGCAGATACAGTAGCAAATGTAATCCAGAAGACTAAAATTTGAAAGGTAGAGTAATTTTGGTAATACTTTAATTTGACTTGTTTTTTTCTGTTTTAAATCCCTCTTTGCCCCMTGCCCTCACTTTTTACTCAWTCCTTGTTAAATAAACTCTTATTARCTCTAGTGAGAGATTAGCCTGACACAGTATCAGCATCTGGTTCTTTACTACTCTTAATATTATCATATGTTGATAATGCATGCATTCTCCTTGGATAAAGCTTTTTTAGGACCTCTTTTCCCTGCACCCTAGGAATMGAYCCAAAGACAAAGTGATTGCCAGCAGGGTCATTTCTCGCTATGGGTTTCACTGCACCACTGCCTCTGGCCTCCACAACCTTGTTCACCTCATAAATGCCTAATTAAACATAATCCCCTTTGGGAAGAAGGAAGCAACGGGTTACCACAGCATCACACGTGGTAATGCCAGGATGATATTGGAAGGTTCTCCTTGCCTCCCTGGGAATTTCACACCAGAGACACATCTCTACTGATGAAGGGGAGTAAGGGGTACTAACTGCAGCAAGAGTCTCAGGGTGGGAAGATGGTGAAATCTTGACTGTGATTCCCCATTCTGGTGTGAAGCAAAAACACTAGCAATTTAACACACTTTTGCCACCTCTTTACATGCTTCTTTGATATCTCTCTTGTGAAAGGGAACACATTCATTATCATTCACATGGAACTGTGCCCATCGAATATGAAAATTTGATTCAAATTTGAGTTCTCGGGAACCTGACTCAAATTCACAGTTCACTTTGCACATCTGTCTTACAAGAGGGCTCAGAAAGAGCAGGGCTTGTATGATTTAGCAAACCAGAGGCTGAAAGGGATTGCTGATTTCTGCCTGTGTAATGATTCCAGGGGACTTAACAGGAAAATAATTCTGGAACAAAAAGGTACGTGGACAATGAAAAAAAAATCTAAATCACCTAGTGCCAGAGTTAGAACAGAAATTAGACAGAGGTTTCTAAAAACTCGAAGAGTAATATTGGAACAGCTATCCATAAAGGAAGGAGGCAATAGAGAGCGGAGTGAAAGAAACCTGATTGTTTTTAAGATGAAGTGTGATCAGCTTAGGGCTGTAGGATGTACTAGCTGACATAGCTCTGTCCCATTCTTATGTTCCTAATTTATAAAGTAGGTTTGAACTCTTCAACTTAAAATCCAGCACATTACTACAAATTACTTCACCCTGGAGAAAATACAGTGTGCTGGAAATATATAAGCACACCATTATACAGCCTTCCCTSCATTTAGTTTGTCTTGTCAATAACATTGAGTAAGATCTTGCAAGTAATACCTAACGTAGAGGCTCCCCTTGTCTAAAAGTTCTCCCAAAAGAGTCCTAACTCTTCCCGTGTTGTCTAGTACAATCTCCTGACAACTGCATTGATGACCTTGCATGCTTCATCCTGCACTGGACCCATCAGTCGTATTGATTTTCTACTGTGGATGGAATATAAAACCTGTTTGGCCATTTTGTTTTGCATCTGGTCCAGACTCCATCTCTATCGGTCTGATGAGGACCTTCTATTATGGAGGACCTAAGAGAAGCTCAGCTCTGTCCACATAAAAGCCCATGTTCATGCCATGTAAATCACAGAATCACAGCTAAGTCTGTTCCACACTGGTAACGAAATTCCACAGCAGTGCAAAGAACCAGCAGACCTCCCACATGTGCCTTGTAGCAAGGACCTGAGAAATAGGGTTTTTTTGGCAGAATTCACTTCTCCAATTTTTATGGAAATAAGCAGAAAGATTCTGAAAATGTATCAGTCCAAGTAAATAAAGCCAGACCAGACCAATTCAGAAACTTATTGTCAGAGTGGTTCCTGGCACGGTTGTGGCTTGGGCCAGTTAAAACCCTCCTGGACCATTCCCAAACATAGTCTGGGACACAGTACAAGCCAAGGATGATTCCCAGTACTCCATTTAGTAGCAGCTGCACTTCTCTGTTTTGCAGTCTGATAAAGTTCAGTGTTCTGGAGATGCCAGAGTATGGCCACTGGCCCATGTAGCCTCCTTGACCTCCAGTGAAGTCACAGAAGACCAAGGCTCATCTATATAACAATAAAATGTTGGATACACTCCAGGTTTCATCCTCACCAGTCTTTAGGTTACCTACGTCTATGCTGTCCTACAGTATGCGCTTACTGGCTCCAGTGATGAGCAAGCATTCATTGTGACCTGTGCACACACCAAAGATCTGAGATCTTGGTGATATGGCTGGTTCGTACCGCCTGACATACAAAGTTGTGTGCTTCTTCAAGTCCTGCTGTCAATATGATGCTGTGCTGGAGGATAAGGTATCTAGGGAGTGCCACAAGCCACTAATGGGCCAAAACAAACCCTGATGTAAATGAATATATGTTGGTAGAGTTATATCMACGTGGCTTGGACTGTTATTATTCCTATGGCTCGGACTGTTATTATTCCTGTTCCACTTGTGGATTAGTCCACAGCGAGCCCATCCCCACGCAGAATGCCCTGGCAGGATGCCACGGATGAGACGCTATGCAAACTCAGCATGAAATGACTGCCCTGCTCCACAGAAGCTGAAAACACCCAGAATGATCCCTTATAGAAATCAGCAGTCCTTACAGCAGTCCCTTTGCCTGCCTCAGAAGCACTGTGATTGTTTCCAAATAAAGTACATTACCAAAATAAGAATACAGGCAACTAGGCTCTGGCTTTCAGAATAAAGTGCATTATAATAAAACCAAGTAGTGTCAACAGTGGGGTTTTTTTCCCTTCCTCCTCCCCTTTTTTTTTACTGCAGCTTTTCAATCTAAAGGGACCTCAGAACTTCAGGGGTTTGTTTAGCCTTTTCCCTGTACTCACAAGCAAAGCTGTGTAACAGCAGCACTAATGCAAGGCAGCAGAAGCCARCGAGAAGAGGGGACACTGCACCCCGCCGCCCGGCTCGGAAGCCCGGGCAGGAATCCAGCGGCTCTCTGTGCTGGAGCGTGGCCAGGGCATGGGCTGCACGGCATCTCCTGCAAACTGGGCTCCCCTGTGACCCCGCGCCGGCAGGACAACACATGCCCAGTGTCYCACAAAGAAACCTTGGGTCAGTGCCACCTGCAGCAACCTCCTGAACCCACAGCCACTTCTTCAGCTGAGCATGGTCTGTTACCCACCACCAGCTTCGCTCGTCTTTGAGAGAGGGACACGGTCGCTGCACAGGGATTCGCAGCACTGCCAAGGACGCCAGGAGCGAGGTGGGAGCAAAACCTCCCCAACCATGAGACCTCCCAGAGCTCTTGGARAAAGACAGCAGCAAAGCAGCCCCTGGCACTTAGGAGTCTGCATTACCACAAGGGGCAGAAACACACAAACACATATACACAGACTTTCTATCAGAAAGCACACGTTCAGAAATGTAGGGATGAAATAGCTTTGCAGCAAAAGACCAGGAGAAGAGGTCCCTTCAGTGTACCATTTTATATTAGAAGCTTTGGCTTAACAAATGTTTCACCTTAAACCGGTGTCAGCCTCAAGTCAATCTGTATGGGCAGACCTGAGATCCTACAAGAGAATTCCTCTTAGCACAGCTGTACAAGAGAGAGGCTAGCAGAGCTGGGACGGAAGAGGAAGGGCCTTCAAACCCGAGATGACAAGTATTCCTCAGTCAATTAATTGATTAAAAAGCTCCTGATAAATGCATAAAACCATGTTCCAATTAACTACGGCTGAACCCCTCAGTGAGGTGCTTCTGACATCTACATTAATTCTAAATRGGGTGACTGTGTTATACCTTAACATGATCTATAAAGAGAGGAATTCATAATCACCAGAACATTATTGCAAAATGTTACCAGGCTTCTATTACTCAAAGCTGACAGGGACACTCATGCTTTGCCCAGAGCAGCCAGAAACCTCCTGGCATTAGAGCAGCAGATGCTCGTGAGGACGGGAGCCCGAGTCCCCCTTCTCCACAGGGTTGTACGGACAGCGCCGACGTGCCAGCACCCCCCATGCTCCTATTAGCATTCTGCTTGCTGTCTAAACAAAATGAAGTGGTGGGAGTTTGAGTATTCAAAGAGCCCCATCTCCCCACTTCTCCTGGCCCTGGAGCAGAGCTAAAGGCAACCAGGAGTCGGGGCAGGGGACTCTCTTGTGCTGCCCCAGGCCTCAGCCCTGCAACTCCCACCTACCTCCACAGGAGCAGCGGCAGGGAGGATGCAAGGCTGAAGTTTACTTAGTAACTTGGGAGCTGTGACAGTTTCTCCAGTCTGGAAACCAATTCACCTACTTCCCTGGCTGCTTTTCTGGGGTCCTTTTACTGCTCTTCACAGGATGGGTTAAGGGGAGGGATGAGAACTGTTTCATGTTAACATCAGCAGGACAAGACGTGGAAAGAAGCTTGTTCCTCCTTTATGCATGGAGACACCTTGGAGGTGAAGTCCTCATGCCACCTATAGGCACAGAGCCCCCCCCCGGCTGCCCTGGCCATGGGGCCAAGAGGAGGAGGAAGAGCAGAGGGTTTCCTAGCCCTRGCTGCCAGCACCCCGGGAGCTGCAAGAGCCGGGTGCCCCGTGTGCCCCATCTTCGTGTTCCAGCTGCAGGTGCTGGTGCTGGTCTCGCCTGCCCGCCTGGAGTGGGAGTGGGGGTCGGGAAGGGGGGAGCTCTGCTGCCCCGCAGGAAGAAGGCGCTGGAAAGAGGGGGCGGGTGGTGGAAAGTGGTGGGTTTTTTTTTTTTTTTTTTTTTTTCCTCCAGAAGAAAGGCCCTTTTGAGGCACTTCTGCCCCACTGCACACTGCTAAGCGAAGCCGAGCCGCGGAACGGGCGCCCCGTAGCAAAAGAGAAACCCGACACTTTCCCCTGCCCCCTCTTCATCACCCCCCCCCCCCCCCAAAAAAAGAAGGAAAAAAAAAAGAAAAAAAGAAAAGAAAGCAAAAAGAGCAACGGGGAAAGGGCAGAAGGAAGCCCCGCGCGGCGGTACTCACGCTGCTGTTGTGGCCTGACCAGTGCACCATGGCTTGGTTGTGCGCCGAGTCGCCGGCCAGGGCGAAGGTGCTGCTGCCCAGGCGCAGCTCATCCAGCCCGAAGCGGGCGGCGCCGCCCGGCTCCCGCCCCGCCGCCGCCTCCGGCCCGGCTGCGGCTCCGGCTGCGGCTCCGGGTGCCGGTCCATGGGCACCAGCAGGCCCTGCACGCGGCCGC